TGTGTCGTAGGTGATTCAATGTTTTCTTAACTCCGAGATGTCCTCCTGTTACAGTATCATGGGATTGATGCAACAATATAAAGTTTATTCTTTTATTTTGTAAATGGCTTAAAATTCAGTGTACAAATGACTACAATAAAACCTCTGTTGGTTGTGAAACAGACTAAATACATTCATCTCAGTAATACAGAAAAGCTATGATATTCTCACAGTTGAGGTCTCAATACACTGAAGAGCTTAAGTTTCGAATTCCAACATAAATCTTGCCTATAATGAGAGGAATGTGACCAGGACTAATCTTTTAAGTACTGTAAAGTAATTTTCATTGTAAGTTATGGTGTCTGTATGGTTTGGTAATCTTCTTTAAAACAAGGTGTATCAAGTAACTAGGGGAGAAAACTGCCTGCAAACCATCTGTCCTGTAAACTATTACATACATTCCCTAGTAGTGGCAGATTTGATGTCAAAATCTGCTTGCATCCTATACACAGAAGGTATGAATAATATATATGTATACGATATACACAAGCCATGTGTAAATATATTTAAATAGGCATGCATAGTTTAGTTCAATTGAATGTGTTATTCATAACATAACCATTTATAATGCTCCCTAAAGGCTCTTGATGTTTTGAGCTCTTGTTTGTTTAGAACAATATATACTAATTTTTACAGTATCAAATTCAATTTTTTTCGAATAAAAATCTTTTGAATGCAACTGTAGCTTTTTTTCCCAAAAACTTTTGTCTTCAAAATAAGAGCACGTCATATATTCCGAAAAATACAGTAGTGAAAAAAAAAACATATCTGGCCTGCCATACAAAGAATGCATTGGATTTTAGCCTAGAAACTTGGATGAAGGTAATCTTAAGATTATAATCTGTTCTTATTCCTTGGTTTTTATTGCGTGTTACAAAAATATATATCTCAAATATTGTTGCCAGTGGACAAGAGCTGGCACATCATATCCTTTCCAATGTTATTTATGTATCTGCACCTCCAAACATTCAACATTCTTAATTGAAGTGGATGGAAATAAACATGATAAAATTCATTTGGATTTATTTGATAATTTGTGGTAAAAATTGATGCAAATGGTTTTAAATAAATATATATATAATAAAAGATTTAGCCTCAAAACTATTATATCAGTTACATTAATTCTCATGATCAGCACTATAAAATAATAATGAACTTAATATAAATTCAAAACTCTATTTAAAAAAACCTTTACACTTTCCAGTCCTTTTCCAAAAGTCATAATGGAGATTGCACCCAAACTCCAAAAATCAGATAAGAAACCAGTCAGCAGTTGTGGAACCTTTATTAAGAGTACAGAGTTGAGTGCTTACACCCATAATGTCTCAGTTCTTACTGCCTTCACTGTCTACAGCCAGTTGTGGGAAGACAGTTACCCTTAACAAGATGTATTCAAGTTAAAAGTAGAAATAAGATAAAATCAAGACATCCAAAAATATATATTTCTACTAATCAATGCCCACCATTCTCCACCCTTAAAACTCTATAAAATTCTTAACCCAATGACCACCGGCTACTAACTTTCTATGTAGCCAGTGCAAGTCTTGCTATATTTCATTCCAACAATAAAACTAGTGGATGAAACTGTTTGAAACTTCATAAGAACTTACATAAATGCATGTAATTTTACTTAAGAAACATAAAGCCTGTTACTTTTGATAGATTTCATTATTTTCCATTATGACCTTTAATATCTTAGAAAATTACATTAAGAAATGGAATTTATAAGAAATGATTATGACATTCACATTTGTTCCAGATTTGAACTTATTACTTTTTATGTTTTAGTACATTATTTTTGAAATGCCAAAAAATTTG